GTTTTAAGGTCCATCCTCACCCTGATTTGGGCACAGATCCCATCCRTGCTGTCCCCGAGTGGTTTTGGGGCCGGAGCTGCCTTTGTGGGGTTTTTAGTGAGGTTTGGCACCGCTCACCCCACGAGCTCAGCTCTTCCCTTGGCAGCGCTGCCGCAGGAGCTGTCTGGGTACATCCTGCAGGCACAGCAGGATCCCGGAGCTGATTCATCCTCCTCAAAACCTTGCCAGGCTCAGAGCTAAATCTGTGCTTTCAAAATTTCAACAAATAAATCAGAGCTGGAGGAGCAGCTCTGGTGAAAACCCCGAAGGTAAATGGGGTGGGAGCATTGTACCAGTGTGATTTGACCCTAAAACCGTGTGATTTGACCCTAAACCCGTGTGATTTGACCCTAAAACCCCTTTCTGGGTTTTTTTAGGCTGGGCAGGATGGAGCACAGGCTTGGCTCTGATGGAGAGACAGATGATGAGGCAAAAATCAGGTGAAAAATCTCTTTTTGATTTAACCCTTGTTAACCTGCCTTTGTGCCAGGAACTGTTGGATGTGCCAGGAGCAGCTTTTCTTTGTGGGAGTATCCCCAGAGCAGTTTTTGTTTTGGGGAAGATGATTTTTCTTTGTGGGGAAGATCCCCAGACCAGCTTTTCCCTGGAGAACATCCCCAGATCAGCTTTTTCTTTGTGTGAAAAATCCCCAGATCAGCTTTTCTTTGTGGGGAAGAGCCCCAGATCAGTTTTTCTTTGAGGAGAACATCCCCACATCAGTTTTTCTTTGTGGAAAATCCCCAGATCAGCTTTTCTTTGTGGGAATATAATTTTTCTTTGAGGAACATCCCCAAATCAGCTTTTCTTTAGGAGAAGATTCTCCAGACCAGCTTTTCTCTGGAGAACATCCCCAGATCAGGTTTTTTTTGGTTTTTTTTTTTTGGGCAAAAGATCCCCAGATCAGCTTTTCTTTGTGAAGAAGATCCCCACATCAGCTTTTCTTTAGGGGAAGATAATTTTTCTTTGTGGGGAAGAGCCCCAGACCAGTTTTCCTTTGGGGAAAGATCCCCAGACCAGTTTTTCTCTGGAGAACATCCCCAGATCAGCTTTTTTTCTGTGCAAAAGATCCCCAGACCAGCTTTTCTTTGAGGAGAAGATCCCCAGATCAGCTTTTCTCTGCAGAACATCCCCAGATCAGTTTTTCTTTGTGGAAAATCTCCAGATCAGCTTTTCTTTTGAAGAAGATAATTTTTCTTTGTGGGGAAGATCCCCAGATCAGCTTTTCTTTAGGAGAAGATCCCCAGACCAGTTTTCCTTTGGGGAAAGATCCCCAGACCAGTTTTTCTCTGGAGAACATCCCCAGATCATCTTTTTCTTTGTGAGAAAAATCCCCAGAACAGCTTTTCTTTAGGGGAAGATGCCCAGATCAGCTTTTCTCTGGAGAACATCCCCAGATCAGTTTTCCTTTGTGGAACATCCCCAGAACAGCTTTTCTTTAGGAGAAGATCACCAGATCAGCTTTTCTCTGCAAAAGATCCCCAAACCAGTTTTTCTTTGTGGGAAAGATCCCCAGATCAGCTTTCTTTAGGGAAAGATAATTTTTCCTTGTGGGGAAGATCCCCAGACCAGTTTTTCTCTGGAGAACATCCCCAGATCAGCTTTTCTTTGTGGGGAAGATAATTTTTCTTTGTGGAAGATCCCCAAATCAGCTTTTCTTTTTGGTGAAGAGCCCCTCAACACCTCCATTTCGGGTGTCACCTCCCGTGCCAGTGGGAATGTCCCCTCCCAGGCCACACCAATCCATCTGCCAGGCTGGTTTAAACCCAGCAGCTCCTGCCAGGGCACAGCGGGGAAAGCTCCAGGCTCAGCTTAAATCAACGCTTTCCTCCAGGAGAGGAGTGCAGGCAGAGAAATGAGAGAGGTGAAGGGTTTTTTTCTCTCAGCCTGGCTCCCTGTGAGGCTGCAGGGACTCATCCCCACTTTCCATGCAGCTGGAGAGAGTTTTGGGGTTTTGTGGGATCCCCCAATCCACCAAGCCGTCAGCAATCCCATAAAATCAGAAATGAAGCACCAGAGATTCGGGTTGGCTCCTGTTTGACCAGCTTCTTTGTGTTTTTTGGGATTTTTTTTCCCTCCCATTTTGCTGTCCATCCTTTGAGAAATGTGAGGTGGCGGCACCCAGGGACACTGCAGAGTTTTTTCACTTGGGGAATGCTTTCAAAAACCCCACAGACTGCAAACACCATCCAATACGCAGCAATGACCTCTCACTGCAAAGTAATTGGGTGTTTTGGAATAAATTATTATTTCTCTTCGCTCCCAGGAGCGTGGAGTGCCAGGGGGAGGAGCAGGAATTAAAAAAATGGCACAGAAATGGGAGGTTCTGGTTGTGCTTTAGGCCATGCTGGAAGAAGGAAGAAGATTTAATTTTTTTTTTTTTTTTTTTTTTTTTTTTTTTTTTGGTCCAAATTTTATTGAATATGCAGGGGTTTCAGTTTGTGTCTCACTGTGGCTTTTCCCCACCCCCTCCAGCTGATTTTGAGCACTGCAGGGCAGGAAATGCTCAGGCAACAATGACAGAGAGATCCCACAACTCCCTCTCACCTAAAAATCAAATCTCAGGGATCCTCAGAGCCTTTTGGAATTAAATCTCACTCAGGGATCCTCAGAGCCTTCTGAAATTCCATTTCCAAAAGTTTCCATCCAAACAAGTCTGTGACCCTGAGCCTACCAGTGTTGCACAAGATGTGAAAATCTGCCATGGGCACCRGGGCTGGGCTCCAGCAAAGCTCCCAGAGCCAGAAAATCTGGGGAATTGCAGAATCCCTGAGCTGGATCTGAAATTTGGGACCTTTTGCCTGGTGTTCAGTCCCTTCTGWACACTTTGAGCACTCTCCTTGGCTGCCTCGATGAGCCCAGGGAAAGCCTCAGGACGTTCTCGGTTTTCAGCCCCAGGTCATTCTTGGTTTTCAGCCTCAGGATGTTCTTGGTTTTCATTTTCAGCTTGGTTTTCAGCCTCAGGTTGTTTTTGGTTTTTTTCAGCCTCAGGTCATTCTTGGTTTCCAGCCCCAGGTCATTCTTGGTTTTCATTATCAGGTCATTCTTGGTTTTCAGCCTCAGGACTCTCTTGGTTTTCAGCTCCAGGTCATTCTTGGTTTTCATTTTCAGCTTGTTCTTGCTTTTCAGCCTCAAGATGTTCTTGGTTTTCATCCTCAGGTTGTTCTTGGTTTCCAGCCCCAGGATGTTCTTGGTTTTCAGCCTCAGGTCATTTTTGGTTTTCACCCCCAGGTCATTTTTGGTTTTCAGCCCCAGGTCATTCTTGCTTTTCAGCCTCAGGATGTTCTTGGTGTTTTTCATCCTCAGGTCATTCTTGGTTTTCATCCTCAGATCATTCTTGGTTTTCATTTTCAGCTTGTTCTTGGTTTTCAGCCTCAGGATGTTCTTGGTTTTCATTTTCAGCTTGTTCTTGGTTTTCAGCCTCAGGTTGTTTTTGGTTTTTTTTTCAGCCTCAGGTTGTTTTTGGTTTTCTTCAGCCTCAGGTCGTTCTTAGTTTTCAGCCCCAGGATGTTCTTGGTTTTCAGCTTCAGAACGTTCTTGGTTTTCATCCCCAGGTCATTCTTGGTTTTCATTTTCAGGTCATTCTTGGTTTTCAGCTTCAGGTTGTTCTTGGTTTTCATCCTCAGGTCATTCTTGGTTTTCATCCTCAGGTCATTCTTGCTTTTCAGCCTCAGGTTGTTCTTGGTTTTCATTTCCAGCTTGTTCTTGGTTTTCAGCCTCAGGTTGTTTTTGGTTTTTTTTCAGCCCCAGGTCGTTCTTGGTTTTCATCCTCAGGTCATTCTTGGTTTTCAGCCTCAGGATGTTCTTGGTTTTCAGCCTCGGGACGTTCTTGGTTTTCATTTTCAGGTCATTTTTGGTTTTCAGCTTCAGAACGGTCTTGATTTTTAGCCCCAGGTCATTCTTGGTTTTCAGTCTCAGGATGTTTTTGGTTTTCATCCTCAGGTCATTCTTGGTTTTCAGCTCCAGATTGTTCTTGATTTTCATCCTCAGGTCATTCTTGGTTTTCAGCCCCAGGTCATTCTTGGTTTTCAGCCCCAGGTCATTCTTGGTTTTCAGCCCTGTGGCTTTCGGGGCTGCCCAGCAGAAATCATCCAAATTTCTGTGAAATCCTCCCCAAATTTCTGTGAAATCCTCCCCAAAACAGGCAGCAGCTCCTCCTGCTCCTCCTGAGCACTGAGCTTTTAAATCCTGCAGATATTTCCATCCTGGCTGTGCCCATCATCTGTTTTAGTGTGATTTTATTTTTACACCAAAAACCAGAGAGAAAACCAAGCAGAGACCTGAGCTGGGTGTTTCCAACCCCTTTGGGTGGGGTGAAGTACCTGGGAGTGTTTCTTGATTTATTTTTGGGCCATTTTGGGGTTAAATCTGTCAATAACCATGGGGATCCTCAGAAAATAAACCCCAAACTGTGCACGAGGCACTGTGGCTTTAACACAAAGTGCTCAGTCAGATTTTTTTTTTAATTTCAGGTAGCTCTGGACATGATTGATGACTCTGGTGATGTTTGTGACAGCTGGGGAAATATGGGATGTTTGTATTTTGTGTACAATACCCACAACTTCTTTATTGTCAGTAAAAAAGGGTTGAACACCCTGAAAAGTTGGTGAATATTTGATTTCTGGCTGATGAGGTGAAGTATTTTAATTGTTTGAGCTGATTCATGGTGGAAATTCCAGTTCTCTGTGTAGAAATTGGGAGAAAAACCAGAATTATGGACAGGATGGGGAGGAATTCATGCTCTGCCCCAGCCCCAGAGAGGGTTTGGAGTGGTGAAGGTTAAAAATGACAAATGTTGGGCTGGCAGGAGGCAGAATCAGCTCTGAACTATTGTGTCACTTATGCAAAAACAATCAGATGTATTTTTAGCTCATGAATTCTGCTGGGAAAGAAAAAAAAAGTTGAGGTGTCACCTTGGCAGCTTAATGCTGCAGTCAKAAATGAGCACAGAAAGCTGGCAAAAATTGAAATATTGAATTAGGGAAGAGTTAACTCACACTGAGAAACTGTCAGGTTTCTCAACCTGAAATGATTTTATTTTTAGGTTGTCGAAACCAAATTCATAACACTCAAAACCTACTCATCCCACTCTTTTAATACAAGCTGCTGTTTYACTGTTTGGATTTTCTGATATCCATATTTATATTTCTATTTATCCATATTTATGACAGCCCTGAAGATTCCCGAGTCCAAAGCTTTTATTTTCCAAGCAGACACAACACAGGAATTGAAAACAAGACACGCACACAAAAATACACCAATGTACATTTAAACAATGCAGAAGAGGTAGTGCTGTTGATTAAGAAATATTTAATTAATATTTAATTAAGAAAATTCAGGTCTGTCTCCATTGCACCCCTTTCAAGGATCACAAGGGGCCACGGGGGGGTTTATTCAGTGTTAACCCAAATTTAAAAGTGGCCTCTGTTCTCTCATATGATTTTATCTCGATTTTTTTTTTTTTATTGGTGGCCCTTCAGGTGAGTAGCTGAAGGGGACTTAGCTCAGAAATTAAATATTATGGTTTGTTAACAGCTCAGAAAATGAGTTTTTAATTAATTATCTACAGGAAGCAAAACCTGTGCACCTTGGGATGGAAAGTTAGGCCTGAACACCAAATATTTGACTTGATTTTTTTTATTTTGCTCTATAAAGACCAAATTTCATGCCTGAGTTGTATTTTGGAGAAGGGAAAGAATATAATTAAAGTGGATGGGTTTTATTGCTGCCCTGAAGAAAAGCTCCAGTGTGACCTTGAAGTTCTGCTAAGAAAATTCAGAATTTAGCTTTTACCAGGGAGAAAAAAACCCAAACTTGATCTCTGTGGAGACAAAATCCTGAAAGGAATGAAAAATAAAAATGGGAAGGCTCTAAGAAACTCCCCAGGGGATATTTAGGAGCATCCTGAGATGCAGAAAAAATACAAAAGGCAAGAGATCACAGAGCCAGAGCACCTAAACTTTAATCTTTTTTAAACTCAGCTCTGCTGAGCTCTGATTATTCCCAAAGATTTTCCAAACCAAAAGCAGCCTGGAGATTTTGCTCTGTGCAAAGTGCTTTAGGGAAGAAGAAAAGGAGGATTATCAGCTGTGAGGTTTAAGAGTAAAAAGCAAAATAGATCTCAGCAAATGCACTTTTGCATTTCCAAGGTGTATCTTTGCTCAGGAGATGCACATCCAGGAGTCCAAACAATAAAAGAGGAAGATTTTTAGGGTTGTTCTSAATTTTTTCTGTTTTTTAAGCTCTGATGGTTCATCAGGTGGAATTAAATAAATCCAAACCAAGGAGGAAGGTGAATTTATCTGATRTATTCCTCCTCAGAGGTGCAGGATGTGTCTTCTTCTGAACCCTCCTCCAAATCTGGCAAATTGCCCCAGAGCAAAACATTCACACCTGATGGGAAGRAGACAAAGGAAAGGGGAAAAAAAAGATAAAAAAAAAGGTATTTTTGGACTGTGACCTTATTTTTAAGTGTCTATTTTGAGAGCAAATAATCCTTGAGAAACCTGGTGATAAATAAATCTATTTTCTGCTTTCCTTCAAAGGGATCTTGGCAGTGTTGTCATTTATTTTCAGCCCACAGAAATATTTATATCACCAATTCAGGCAGYTATTGATGACCCCTCCTGGCTGATTTATTTTGGAAATAAAATAAAGGCGAAGGTGATGCTGAGAGGTTTGGGTTGGGATAAATCCCCTCTGGTGCACTGGTTTGTACTGGTTTGTACTGGGCTGCAGAAAATCCCTGATTTCTGTCCCCAGAATGGGGAGGGAGAGATGAATTCCCACCCAAATTTTAATTTCCAGATCAGCAACAATTCCTCGTGCTCTGTGTCAGCTCCTTCCATGTGCTGGGACTACATTGGGATTTTAGGGTGGGGAATGGGGATTTTAGGGCTGGGAATGAGGATTTTAGGGTGCAGAACAAGGATTTTTGGGCACGGAGTGGGGATTTTAGGGTGGGAAATTGGGATTTTAGGATGAGGAATGGGGATTTTAGGGTGGGGAATGGGGATTTTAGGGTGGGAATGGGAATTTAGGGTGGAGAATGGGATTTTAGGATGGGGAACAGAATTTTAGGGCAGGGAAGGGGATTTTAGAGCGTGGAACAGAGATTTTAGGGTAGGGAATGGGATTTTAGGGTGGGAACAGAGATTTTAGGGTGGGAAATAAGGATTTTAGGGCGTGGAACGGGGATTTTAGGGTGGGAAATGGGGGTTTTAGGGTGGGAATTGGGATTTTAGGGTGGGAATGGGGATTTTAGGGAAGGGAACGGGGTTTTAGGGTGGGGAATGGGGATTTTAAGGGGGGAATTGCGATTTTAGGGTGAGGAACAGGGATTTTAGGGAGGGGAATGGGGATTTTAGGGTGGGAATGGGGATTTTAGGGCAGGGAACGGGGATTTTAGGGTAGGGAACAGGGATTTTAGGGTTGGGAAGGAGGATTTTAGGGTGGGAAATTGGATTTTAGGGTGAGGAAAGGGGATTTTAGGGTGGGGAATGGGGATTTTGGGGTGGGAATGGGGATTTTAGGATGAGGAATGGGGATTTTAGGATGGGGAACAGGGGAATTTAGGGTGGAAATTGGGATTTTAGGGCAGGGAACTGGGATTTTAGGGTGGGGAATGGGGATTTGAGGGTGAGGAATGGGAATTTAGGGTGGGCAACGGGGATTTAGGGTGGGAATTGGAATTTTAGGGTGGGGAAGGGGGATTTTAGGGTGGGGAACAGGATATTAGAGTGCAGAACAGAGATTTTCTGGTGAGGAATCAGGGTTTTAGGGTGGGGAATGGAGATTTTAGGGTGGGGAACGGGGTTTTAGGGTGGGGAACAGGAATTTTAGGGTGGGGAATTGGGATTTTAGGGCAGGGAACTGGGATTTTAGGGTGGGAAATGGGGATTTTAGGGTGGGTAACAGGGATCTTAGGGTAGGTAAAAGGAATTTAGGGTGGGGAAGGAGGATTTTAGAGTGGGGAATTGGGATTTTAGGGTGGGGAATAGGGATTTTAGGGTGGGGAATGGGGATTTTAGGGTGGGGAACAGGATATTAGAGTGCAGAACAGAGATTTTCTGGTGAGGAACCGGGCTTTTAGGGTGGGAATTGGGATTTTAGGGTGGGGAAGGGGATTTTAAGGTGGGGAATGGAGGTTTTAGGGTGGGAACGGGGATTTAGGGTGGGGAATGGGAATTTTAGGGCGCAGAACAAGGATTTTTGGGCACGGAAGGGGGATTTTAGGATGGGGAATGGAGATTTTAGGGTGGGGAATGGGGTTTTAGGGTGGGGAACAGGGATCTTAGGGTAGGGAATGGGAATTTTAGGCTGGGGAATGGGATTTTAGGATGGGGAACAGAATTTTAGGGTGGGGAACAGGAATTTTAGGGTGGGGAAGGAGGATTTGAGGGTGGGGAATGGAGATTTTAGGGTGGGGAACGGGGTTTTAGGGTGGGGAACAGGGATCTTAGGGTAGGGACAGGGAATTTTAGGGTGGGGAATGGGATTTTAGGATGGGGAACAGAATTTTAGGGTGGGGAAGGAGGATTTTAGGGTGGGGAATGGAGATTTTAGGGTGGGGAATGGGATTTTAGAGTGGGAAATTGGGATTTTAGTGTGGGGAACGGGGATTTTGGGGTGGGAATGGGGAATTTAGGGGTGGGAATGGGGATTTTAGGATGAGGAACAGGATATTAGAGTGCGGAACGGAGATTTTCTGGTGAGGAACGGGAATTTAGGGTTGGGAATGGGATTTTAGGATGCAGAATGGGGATTTTAAGGTAGGGAATGGGGATTTTAGGGTAGGGAAGGGGAATTTTAGGGTGGGGAACAGGGATTTTAGGGTAGAGAACTGGGATTTTAGGGTTGGGAATGGGATTTTACAGTGAGGAACGGGGATTTTAGGGGAAGGGAAGGCAGCAAACGTGTCCCTCACCAGAAGGGTCCAGCCTGTTGATGCCCAGCACAGCCTGGCTGTGGAACATCCAGAGGTGGCCGTTGTTGCAGGACAGCAGGCAGGGCTTGCAGGGATGGATCACGTGGTAGCCAACGACATTCCCGCTGGAAAAGCAGTTGGAATAACTTTTATATATTTTAAATATAACTTTAAATAATATAATTGGAATAATTTCCAGTAATAATTGGAAAATTGGATGTTTCCAGCTCCCATTAAACACCCCCAGTGCCAGATCATTGTGTAAATCTCCAGTTTCGATAGGAACAGGGTTAAACAAGAATCTTAAATATTTAGGGAACCTCTGTCAGGAGTAACAGAATATCTGAGTTTTAGATCTTTGGCACACACAGAGAAGTGTTTGGTAACCAAAATTGTGTAACCAGTGGGTAGTTTACACACCAACAGCTGCTGGTGGATTTCTTTATAGATTTTCTTTTGGAAGGATGGTGATTTCGATCAGCAAAGGAGCTGATCACACCCAAAATCCCCCTGCACACACACCGTGCACAGGAGAGTGTCAGAAGGAGGGATGGGACTGAGAATTTTGGAATGGGATGGGTAGGGAGGGGCCTTAAAGCTCATCCAGTGCCACCAAGGACACTTTCCACTGTCCCAAATTATTGAATCCTCATCAACTCTCCTAAATCAAAACCAAAACAATCATTTTTCTACTTTCACATGCTCTGATGAGATATTTCTGATACTCTAAAATATATTTCTCTATTTCTGTCTAAAATCCTAAGTATTTTGTCCCTATCACAACCCCCCATTGCTTAAATCAGAGAAAGGCAAAATAAAACAGATTATGGAGGGGAAAGAATCATCTCAGACAACAGCAAGCAATCCAAGAATTGTTGTTTTCACCCTTAAATATCAGACATTAATAAGGAGGATAAAAAGAACTTGGAGAACTTTAGCACCAGCATGTTCCATCTGCTCCAAACAACTCGATCTGCCAAGAGGATGTTCTGGAAATTAGAATATGAGTAAGAGCTCCTTATCACAGAGCTCTCCCCGTGTTGGGGCTGATGTTCAATCAACGCCTCAGGATTTTTTAATTTCTATATTTTCRTGTATTTTTGTACTTCTCCAGYGTACAGCACTAAAGCTTCTTTAGACAAAACAATTCCTCKCTGAGCTTGAAATCCAAGGGCACTTTGCTGYMTCAGAGCCCCAAAATRTGGAAACAACRGAGAATTGGGGGAGCAAATTGGRGTTGTTGGCATCATCASCTGAAGGTGKAATTGGAGAATTKGGGCYWRATATGTGAATGAGACAGAAMTGATAAAAGGGGAAGATCTCGTGAYTCAGGGTGAATTTTGGGTGCAGCCTSAGGAGGAGGCTTTGYCTGCCCTGAATGCACCAGCAAGCCTGGATTAAATTTATTTACTTTATTCTCTTCACTTTGGCCTCTGTTTTGGGTGATCTTTGTTTCAGGCATCACCCAAGGACCCAACCCTGACACATTGTCCCATTTCCACTGGGGATTCACACAAAATCACCCTGGCAGCCTGGCCCAGCAGCGCTGGGCTGAGTTTTCCTCCTCAGCAGCATTAAATCAGCACTGGGGGATGAGATTTGACACAATCTGTTTGCTCATCCCTCAACCCTGGCGCTGCAGGAGGTGACAACAAGGAGGTGACACAGRGCAGGGACGTGCCAGCATCTCCTGTTGTGCTCTCACCACTTCAAGCAGGCGATGTTCTTCAGTTTGCATTTGCAGATTTCTGTGAAGTAGCAGCTCCCGATGAAATCCACGGTTCTGGAGGAAGGAAAGATTGTACTGGTTTGTACTGGGCTGAAAACCAGATGTTTGGGGATGTGATTGCAGCTGCAGTGTGTCCAGAACACGGGGCTGAAGTGACAACCAAGGGATGTCACCACTGGTGCTGTGTGGTTTTAAACCTCCCGAGGCCACACGGTTCTACTTTCCTTTTGACCATACTTAGACAGAAACTTTCAAAAGAGAACCACGTGATATTGAGTGAGTATTAAAAATCCTCTTAAAACAGCCCAAAAAGCTTCTCTTGGTACTCAGAGGGAAACTTTAAAAAGAGACCCACGTGACATTGAGTGAGTATTAAAAATCCTCTTAAAACAGCCCAAAAAGCTTCCCTTGGTACTAAGAGGGAAACTTTAAAAAGCGACCCACGTGATATTGAGTGAGTATCAAAAATCCTCTTAAAACAGCCCAAAAATCAGGGCTTGCCTTGGTAATCAGAGGGAAACTTTCAAATGAGACCCATGTGACATTGCAGGAGTATCAAAAATCCTCTTAAAACAGCCCAAAAATCAGGGCTTCCCTTGGTACTCGGAGGGAAACTTTAAAAAGAGACCCATGTGACATTGAGTATTAAAAATCCTCTTAAAACAGCCCAAAAATCTTCCCTTGGTACTAAGAGGAAAACTTTAAAAAGAGACCCACGTGACATTGAGTGAGAATCAAAAATCTTCTTGAAACAGCCCAAAAAGCTTCTCTTGGTACTAAGAGGGAAACTTTAAAAAGAGACCCATGTGGCATTGAGTGAGTATTAAAAATCCTCTTAAAACAGCCCAAAAAGCTTCCCTTGGTACCCGGAAGGAAACTTTAGAAAAAAAGACCCACGTGACATTGAGTGAGTATCAAAAATCCTCTTAAAATAGCCCAAAAATCAGGGTTTGCCTTGGTAATCAGAGGGAAACTTTCAAAAGAGACCCATGTGACATTGAGTGAGTATTAAAAATCTTCCTAAAACCTTCCCTTGGTACTCAGTGGGAGACTTTAGAAAAAGACCCATGTGACATTGAGTGAGAATCAAAAATCTTCCTAAAACAGCCCAAAAAGCTTCCTTCAATACTGGGAGGCTCTGGGGCTCAGTGTGGCACTGTCAGAACCCCAAATTACAGACACAGCCCCGGCTCTGCCAAACCCCAGCWAAGGAACAGAACGCTCCCTCAGAGGTTGGGATGTTTCAACCCAAACCTTTGATTCCTTATCTCCTTTCCAGCCCGTCCTTTAGGATTACCATGTCATTTCACAATCTGATTTCCTTACTATTCAAATCTCKCTATGGGAAAGCGGCGCAGAGAGTCCTGGCGGCAGTGACAGATCAGGTTTGTTCTGTTTGTGCGGRTCTTTATTTCAAATTCTAATCTTTGCTTCGGAAAGGTGCAGGAGGAGCCTGAGCCATCCCTGCGGATGGATGGAATTGGAGTTTGGGTTTGCTCAGCCTCGCTCTTTGCCATCCCATTGAGGATTAAAGGGGTTGGGAAAGGCGCAGGAGGAGCCTGAGCCATCCCTGAGGATGGATGGAATTGGAGTTTGGGTTTGCCCAGCCTCGCTCTTTGCCATCCCATTGAGGATTCCCCGGTGTTGGAGATGTAGGGATGGGGTCACCGCGTTTTCCCGGTGACAGCGATGCTGAGACCCCTCCAGCAGGGTCACCCCGCTTGGGTCCCCATCCCCCTGTGGAATCCATCCTTTCCCCATTCCCGGCGCTTACCCCGAGGGCGGGATGTCGGTGGAGTAGAGATCGGTGTCGGTGTCCGCCAGCAGCACCGCCTGCATCCCCCGGGAGCTCAGCACCTGCCGGCAGAACCGGCAGCACAGCACCCGCACGCTCCGGTCCTCGAAGGTGCAGC